TACTGTAGTAATACTGTGAATCCTGTAGGGTGTCTCACTGTTCTTACATGCTTTGTAAACACACAATTTAGGAAGGGGATACTGTAGTAATACTGTGAATCCTGTAGGGTGTCTCGCTGTTCTTACATGCTTTGTAAACACACAATTTAGGAAGGGGATACTGTAGTAGTACTGTGAATCCTGTAGGGTGTCTCACTGTTCTTACATGCTTTGTAAACACACAATTTAGGAAGGGGATACTGTAGTAGTACTGTGAATCCTGTAGGGTGTCTCACTTTTCTAACATGCTTTGTAAACACACAATTTAGGAAGGGGATACTGTAGTAGTACTATGAATCCTGTAGGGTGTCTAGCTGTTCTTACATGCTTTGTAATCACACAATTTAGGAAGGGGATACTGTAGTAGTACTGTGAATCCTGTAGGGTGTCTCACTGTTCTTACATGCTTTGTAAACACACAATTTAGGAAGGGGATACTGAAGTAGTACTGTGAATCCTGCAGGGTGTCTCGCTGTTCTTACATGCTTTGTAAACACACAATTTAGGAAGGGGATACTGTAGTAATACTGTGAATCCTGTAGGGTGTCTCACTGTTCTTGCATGCTTTGTAAACACACAATTTAGGAAGGGGATACTGTAGTAGTACTGTGAATCCTGTAGGGTGTCTCACTGTTCTAACATGCTTTGTAAACACACAATTTAAGAAGGGGATACTGTAGTAGTACTGTGAATCCTGTAGGGTGTCTCACTCTTCTTACATGCTTTGTAAACACACAATTTAGGAAGGGGATACTGTAGTAGTACTGTGAATCCTGTAGGATGTCTCACTGTTTTTACATGCTTTGTAAACACACAATTTAGGAAGGGGATACTGTAGTAGTACTGTGAATCCTGTAGGGTGTCTCGCTGTTCTTACATGCTTTACAAACACACAATTTAGGAAGGGGATACTGTAGTAGTACTGTGAAACCTGTAGGGTGTCTCGCTGTTCTTACATGCTTTGTAAACACACAATTTAGGAAGGGGATACTGTAGTAGTACTGTGAATCCTGTAGGGTGTCTCGCTGTTCTTACATGCTTTGTAAACACACAATTTAGGAAGGGGATACTGTAGTAGTACTGTGAATCCTGTAGGGTGTCTCACTGTTCTTACATGCTTTGTAAACACACAATTTAGGAAGAGGATACTGTAGTAGTACTGTGAATCCTGTAGGGTGTCTCACTGTTCTTACATGCTTTACAAACACACAATTTAGGAAGGGGATACTGTAGTAATACTGTGAATCCTGTAGGGTGTCTAACTGTTCTTACATGCTTTGTAATCACACAATTTAGGAAGGGGATACTGTAGTAGTACTGTGGTATCCTGTAGGGTGTCTCACTCTTCTTACATGCTTTGTAAACACACAATTTAGGAAGGGGATACTGTAGTAGTACTGTGAATCCTGTAGGGTGTCTCACTATTCTTACATGCTTTGTAAACACACAATTTAGGAAGGGGATACTGTAGTAGTACTGTGAATCCTGTAGGGTGTCTCACTGTTCTTACATGCTTTGTAAACACACAATTTAGGAAGGGGATACTGTAGTAATACTGTGAATCCTGTAGGGTGTCTCACTCACTCAGTTCTTACATGCTTTGTAAACACACAATTTAGGAAGGGGATACTGTAGTAGTACTGTGAATCCTGTAGGGTGTCTCACTGTTCTTACATGCTTTACAAACACACAATTTAGGAAGGGGATACTGTAGTAGTACTGTGAATCCTGTAGGGTGTCTCACTCTTCTTACATGCTTTACAAACACACAATTTAGGAAGGGGATACTGTAGTAGTACTGTGAATCCTGTAGGGTGTCTCACTGTTCTTACATGCTTTGTAAACACACAATTTAGGAAGGGGATACTGTAGTAGTACTGTGAATCCTGTAGGGTGTCTCACTGTTCTTGCATGCTTTACAAACACACAATTTAGGAAGGGGATACTGTAGTAGTACTGTGAATCCTGTAGGGTGTCTCACTGTTCTTACATGCTTTGTAAACCCACTTACAGACTATTGGCCTTTGAGGGTGACAAGAATTTAACAAATGATTATCTTGACTAATGATGAACCTAACATTGAGTTTAATATTTGCTGTGGCTCAGGAAAAAAATGTCATTATATTGTATTATTGCTTGTTGTAACTCATGCATGTAGTTATCAATAGGTTCAAAAGGTTGGTAAACATGTAGAAATAAATAACATCTACTTTTATTATTCTATAAGGAACCTAATTATCTGTTCACTTCCAGTCTGATGTGAACAGAATCGTTTGAAATTGTGAGCAAAACTTTTATATCGTTGTTTTGCCTTTTGACTCAGGATTTTGAGATTTTGATCAATATTTTTGGAATAGTATACCTTTACACATATATATGTTAGGGGAATATTGTTTGTTCCTTTGTGACTGCAGTTATGTATTCCATAATGTGATTTCATGCTGTACATGCCAAAATTCATGTACTGAAAATCTTGCAGATAAGTGTTCTGTTTATGTCTGTGATTTCTAAATGTAATATTATATGAAGACAGTACATGACCCTTTTATTCATTCTTACAGTAGACTGGTGATTTTCATATTGACTTTATAGTCCAAGGACAAAAAGTTTTGTTGCAATCTTCCAAGGATATCTTAAGTCAATATTTATATTGTCAGATTAACAGTGATGTGATCTGTCAACAGATTTAGGAATTACATGATTCTTCAGGCCAAGAAAGAAATTTCAAAAGTTAAAATGCCAATTAAAACAAAAATGAAAGGAAAAAAAAAAAGATTGTGCCAAAGTCAGATTATAAATCATTTGATATTGTTATAAGGATTGTGCCAACTTGTATATATAGTTGCTAACAGACCTGAAAAAAAAACTTGCTTGTTTTTAGTGAAGTTATAACTTCTTATAAAGAAAACAAAATCTTTATAGTTTGAAAAAGGGGAAAAGATGTCAAGGGGCTTTTTTAACCCATAAATCAAAGAAAGACTGACAAAATCATGACAGAAAGAAAAAAAAAAGCTCAGACAAACATCAGTACACCATGATAAACTAAACAGAAAATAAAAATTGCATCATAAAACGACATTTCTTTTTGGCCTTTTTAGCTCACCGGGGCCTGAACAAGTCTGTCGTCGTAAACTATTTAAAAAATCTTCTCCTCTGAAACTACTGGGCCAAATACCTTCAGACTTTAAATAAATTTTCCTAAGGGTATCTAGTTTATAAATTGTATCCGAAGTTTTGATCCATCGACAAACATGGCCGCCATGGCTAAAAATAGAACATAGGGGTCAAATGCAGTTTTTGGCGTATATCTCAGAAAGTAAAGCATTTAGAGCAAATCTGACATGGGGTAAAAATGTTTAAAAGGTCAAGATCTATCAGCCCTGAAATTTTCAGACAAGCAGATTAAAATGACTGTTCACTGAATAATTAACTTTATAACTGAATGTTAACTAATTCCATGTTATTTTAATGATATATTATCTTCTAGTTGCAAAAAAAAAAATTAAGTTAAAATATTAATGAAGAAATTTTCGCAAACAATCATCATTTAAACAAACCAAATCATTAGTTAGTGTAAAAGCTAAAATGAATTATGCTTTTATTGTTAAAACAAACAAATTGGAATTTCGACTTCTCTCTTAAAGAGGCAGTGATCTTGTCGGAAACTCACTTTTTTAATAAAAAATTTGGTGTTGGCACCAAAAATTAGGGATAGAGGAAGGGGTTGAACAAAGTTATACCGCGTCTAGTTATAGTTTTACGAAGTAAAGCAGAACATTATTCATACACCCAAGTGTCCATTTTAATGAATCTTTTATCTTAGTTCAGATATTATTTATTTCATATGGAAAGGCTTTTGACAATATCATTTATTTTCTTATGACTACATAATTTAACTGTAATAAGTATCCTAATTTATACAGGTAAATGTGTAAAAAATATTGAAAAATTTGTGTCGGAACACTTTCTAAAGACGTGAATTTTTCCAAGTTAAATTAATCTTTGTAACAGTTGGGTTAGTGTTTCAAAAACCACAGTTACTGAAGATTAAATTGAATGAAAGAATGACACAATTTTTGAAGTAATAAATATTTTATTTGTCTTTCAATATATTGTGACATCTTTGAATTTGATGACCAAATATAACATAACATTGTTAACCTAGTTTCTTGCTTCCTACATAGTCTACTGAATCTCAGTCAATGTTGTTACTTTCTAATTAAGGTTAGTAGGGAAATTTTAAATGCTCTCACTGTAAACTACTGCGTGGTCTGCATAATAACATTACAAAAGGATATACTATACAGTATTTTAAACTGCAATGTGTTTAATTTTAGAAGTTGAAACATTTTTGGCTTACAAGATTAAGCTGCTGAGGCAGGATAAGAACAATTGATACTTAAAATCCACTCCTACTGCAATTCAACCCTAATATATTCAGGACATTGCGTTCATACTGATGTTGTTCACCCGATTTTATTGAAATGTATTTTGAGAAGGTTTATTTCTGAATATCTATTTTTATAATAATATACTATAAACAATATATATTTGGTATGCTGTAGTACAAATTCTGGCAGTTTTGTAACACATTGATATATTTCTTGTACTACAAATTCAGGTTTTAATATTTGGTATGTTGTACTATACAACTTTTTAAATTTTTGTAACATATTGTTATACTGCAAATTCTGGTAATTTTGAAACATTGATATTTGTTGTACTGCAAATTCTTGTAATTCTACAAACTCTGGTACTTTTGAAACATATTGATATTTGGTATGTTGTACTTCAACTTTTGGTATTTTTGTAACATATTATTTGTTGTACTGCAAATTTTGGTATTTTGAAACATAATTATTGTAACAAAACTTAATCTGATTTTTTATGGCAAAAACTACATACTGTATGATATATTTTATAAAAGGGATGACATCAATGGATTTATTTTTTTCTTTCAGGTAATGACTTTATATGGGGCACTGGTAAAGTTGGAAAAAGGTGCACAGGTATGTAAAAAACAATAATGCAAATTTCTTTGTGAATACAAGAGGAGTAGAATTGCATCCTTAGCATGGTCTCGTGTTAGCATGGTCACCTGAAATGCATGTGGTCATGGGATCAAATCCATGCCGGGTCAAACCAAAGACTTTAGAATGGGAAATTTCAAAATGCTGCTTCTCCACTAAGCACGCAGCATTTAGGAGTAAGAGCAAAGACTGACCTGTCATCTCAAGGTTAGAATAATGCGTCAAGGTAGGGTGACATGTCTTCCTAGGGCCTAACTGGTACCTTGTGAACTACGTAGTATGTTGAAAATTCAGCTCAGCTAAGTTGAACATGTCGGTCTATTTCAAAGCAGGAGTTCATATTCATATTGCATTAACATATTCTCTTCCAGAATATGCATTTAATTTGCCACTGGATGTTTAAAGAACTATCCATCCATCCATCAAGAGGAGTAGCCCTGTTCAATTAATGGAAGTTATATCTTGTCTCTAATAATTCCTTATTTGACTTGCTATTTAAGGTTATTTTTAAGAAAATGTCATATAAGTAGGAGATTTAAAAGTAAATTTATTTTTCATTTGAAATGTCATCATGGCTTCATACAGCTCTTAGATAAAGAGGTGTGAGAAAGCACATGTTATACAATCAATCATATATTTAAGCTTTCAGTAATTGGACACCTGAAATTTGGCACAAATAGAGCAGTAGTCTTACCGATATCCACAATAAGGTTGCAAAGTGGTTAAAATAATATGAGTAAAACATATCCTAGTATAACTGTCAAGGGTCAACATGTTAGTATAAAAACTACCTAAACTTATGGGTAGCATAACCCACTGTTTTGCCAGCTAATCCACAGTCAGTCTCAACATTAGTAATGTTTTTGGTTATTTGGAGTTAGGTGTTGATTGTTTCTGTTTATTTACAACTTTCATAGACTGGAGGATTGAGAGCTTGAAATCTTGTAATAGACACATGACTTAATATTTAATTGATGAACACTGTATATTGCCATCATCTTTTTTAGCTCACCTGGCCCGAAGGGCCAAGTGAGCTTTTTCTCATCACTTGGAGTCTGTCGCCCATCGTCGTCGTCCGTCTTCGTTAGCTTTTAAAAAAATCTTCTTCTCTGAAACCACCTGACCAAATTTAACCAAACTTGGCCACAATCATCATTAGGGTATCTAGTTTAAATTATTTGTCCGATGACCCCGCCTACCAACCAAGATGGCCGCCATGGCTAAAAATAGAACATAGGGGTAAAATGTAGATTTTGGCTTATATCTCTGAAACCAAAGCATTAAGAGTAAATCTGACTGAGGGTAAAACTGATTACCAGGTCAAGATCTATCTGCTCTGAAATTTTCAGACAAATCTGACAACCCGTTGGTGGGTTGCTGCCCCTGAATTGGTAATTTTAAGGAAATTTTGCAGTTTTTGGTTAATATCTTGAATATTATTATAGATAGAGATAAACTGTAAGCAGCAATAATGTTCAGCAATTTAAGATCTACAAATAAGTCGTCATTACCAAAATTGTCAGTCGACCCCTTAAGGTGGTACCCAACACCTTGACTAATATTAATTTGGCTCGTTTAATTTTCATAAAATTTTGACAAAATGTTTACTTTGACCCTTTGACAAAAATATAAAAATTTCAAAAAATTTGAACCAACCACTTTATCAGAAAAATTTCGTTGGTTATATAGCAGTTTGACAAACACTAATTTTGATAATTGAGAAGCTTAATATTTCCTTAACAATACAACGTAATTAAAACGTTTAGCTGATTTTTACAGAGTTATCTCCCTGTAGTGTTAGGTACCACCTTAAGGAGTTATTGGCATTTTTAGTCAATTTTTAACAATTTTTTGTAAATTTTTGTAATCTTTTACAAAAATCTTCTTCTCTGAAACTACTGAGACAAATTTAACCATACTTGGCCTTAATCATTATTAGAATATCTAGTTTAAAAAATTTGTCCGATGACCCCCCCTTCAAACCATCATGGCGGACATGGTTAAAAATAGAACATAGGGGTAAAATGCAGTCCATCGTTGTCGTCGTCGTCCTTCGTCGTTAACTTTTACAAAAATCTTCTCCTCTGAAACTACTTGGCCAAATTTAACCAAACTTGGCCACAATCATCATTGGGGTATCTAGTTTAAAAAATGTGTCCAGTGACCCGGCCAACCAACCAAGATGGCTGCCATGGATAAAAATAGAACATAGAGGTAAAATGTAGATTTTGGCTTATATCTCTGAAACCAAAGCATTTAGAGCAAATCTGACATAGGGTAAAATTGTTTATCAGATTTAGATTTATCTGTCCTGAAATTTTCAGACGAATTTGACAACCCGTTGTTGGGTTGCTGCCCCTGAGTTAGTAATTTTACAGAAGTTTTGCAGTTTTTAGCTCACCTGGCCCAACGGGCCAAATGAGCTTTTCTCATCACTTGGCGTCCGTCGTCGTCGTCGTCGTCGTTAACTTTTACAAAAATCTTCTCCTCTGAAACTACTTGGCCACAATCATCATTGGGGTATCTAGTTTAAAAAAGGTGTCCAGTGACCCTGCCAACCAACCAAGATGGCCACCATGGATAAAAATAGAACATAGAAGTAAAATAAAGATTTTGGCTTATATCTCTGAAACGGAAGCATTTAGAGCAAATCTGACAGGTGGCAAAAATGTTCATCAGATTTAGATTTATCTGTCCTGAAATTTTCAGACGAATTCGACAACCCGTTGTTGGGTTGATGCCCCTGAGTTAGTAATCTTACAGAAGTTTTGCAGTTTTTAGCTCACCTGGCCCAACGGGCCAAGTGAGCTTTTCTCATCACTTGGCATCCGTCGTCCGTCGTCGTCGTCATCCGTCTTCGTTAACTTTTACAAAAATCTTCTCCTTAACAAAACTTGGCCACAATCATCATTGGGGTATCTAGTTTAAAAAATGTGTCCGGTGACCCTGCCAACCAACCAAGATGGACGCCATGGATAAAAATAGAACATAGAGGTAAAATGTACATTTTGGCTTATATCTCTGAGACCAAAGCATTTAGAGCAAATCTGACAAGGTTTAAATTGTTAACCAGGTCAAGATCTATCTGCCCTTAAATTTTCAGATGAATCGAACAACCCGTTGTTGGGTTGCTGCCCCTGAATTGGTATTTTTTGGGAAATTTTGCCATTTTTGGTTATTATCTTGAATACTATTATAGATAGAGATAAACTGTAAACAGCAATAATGTTCAGCAAAGTAAGATCTACAAATAAGTCAACTTGATTAAAATGGTCAGTTGAACCCTTTAGGAGTTATTGCCCTTTTTAGTCAATTTTTAACCATTTTTCGTAAATTTTTGTAATCTTTTACAAAAATGTTCTCCTCTGAAACTACTAAGACAAATTTAACCAAACTTGTCCACAATCATCATTGGGGTATCTAGTTTAAAAAATGTGTTCAATGACCCCAACCGCGAACCAAGATGGCCAACATTGGTAAAAAATAGTACATAGGGTACAATGCAGTTTTTGGCTCATATCTCTGAAACAAAAGCAATTTGAGCAAATCTGTTGGGATAAAATTGTTCATTAGGCCAAGATCTATCTGCCCTGAAATTTTCAGACCAATCTGGCAACATGTTGTTGGGTTGCTGCCCCTAAATTGGTAATTTTAAGAAAATTTTGCAGCTTTTGGTTATTATCTTGAATATTATTATAGATAGAGATAAACTGTAAACAGCAATAATGTACAGCAAAGTAAGATCTACAAATAAGTCAACATGACCAAAATTGTCAATTGACCCCTTAAGGAGTTATTGCCCTTTATAGTCATTTTTTTACAATTTTCATAAATTTTGTAAATTTTTGTAAATTTTTACAAAATATTTTCCACTGTAACTACTGGGCCAAGTTCATTATAGATAGAGATAATAGTAAGGAGCAAGAATGTTCAGTAAAGTAAGATCTACAAACACATCACCATCACCAAAACACAATTTTGTCATGAATCCATCTGTGTCCTTTGTTTAATATGCACATAGACCAAGGTGAGCGACACAGGCTCTTTAGAGCCTCTAGTTTGTTATTATCTTAGATATCATTATAATATCTAATATCTAGTACTATTAATGATGATTTTAACCTTATTTTACATGATTTCCAAAGCATCAGTAAATACAGGTGAGCAACACAGGCTCTTGAGAGCCTCTAGTTTGTTATTATCTTGACTTTATACTTGTTTGGCTTTCTAACTATTTTGATCTGGGCGTCACTGATGAGTCTTACGTAGACGAAACGCGCGTCTGGCGTATCAAATTATAAACCTGGTACCTTTGATAACTATTATGTAAGTTTCTCAAAAGAATTGATTTTTTGTTTTACAAAAGTACCTATCAACTATATATATATATATATATAGATATATATTAAATGAAACAAATGAAAGCTGTGACATCAAACTGCTGTAACCTGTTTTTAAATCATTGAAACCTCCCACTTTTAGCTTGTATGCACTAGGCAGCCAGTGTTTAACTTCCTGATTCAACAAATCAAAGAAATGCTTAGCTTTACAAATGTTTGATTTTTGTTAAGCTAAGATTTCAGTAAAATGGATGACTTTCAAATTTCATCCATGTTACTGTACATTCCCTATGTCACAATGCTCATGTTTTTACATCACAGTAAGAACAGATTGTTCAATGACATCATTTACGCCGATTGACCTGAGGTCAACCAGTGTATCTCATTTATAAAAAAACAACTTGATTGTAGTCTGTTGATTTCATTCTGAATTTTGTAAGTTCCGGTAAAAATCTTTCACTAAACATCTTACTTACCAGTAGAATGTTAATTAATTATGATTATTTCAGTAAAACTGATTGAAGATTTTTTTTGTGAGATAGTCCCTGAGCTTTGAAGCTTCAGATTTTTCTCAGTACATATAGGTTAAATAACTGTCTCATTGTTTTATGCATAACATCTCCTTTTTAGCTCACCTGG